TTTTTTCGCTGTAAAAAGAAGTTTTATTCCCACGCACAATGGACGCTAATGTTTTTGTCACTTTTTATGGAATCAAACTCAAAGTAAGGTCAGTACTTCCACGCTTTAAACGCTGCACGCTCATACTCTCTCCCACAATCGATATGTGATCCATTGTTGATCTGCAAACAGCTGTTGTCACTAACAGCGCACTCGCTTACGTCACTGTCGTGAGACATTGTCGCAAAGTAACGGTAATCGAACTACCGTTTTTGCAATAGTAATCCCTTACTTTACTCGTTACTTGAAAAAGTAATCAGATTACAGTAACGCGTTACAAGTAACGCGTTACTGCCCATCTCTGATGCTATGTGACTTACATGGCATAGATTCATTCCTATAAGCAGTCCTGTGACATGTGCGCACTTACTACTCATTAAACAAACAAAAAAAGGTAACTAAGACAGTTTTGTTGGTTGGGTTGAATATTACAAAATCATCTCATTTGTGAAAAAATTATATGCTTGTTATGCAGGGCCATGTTACCTGAAGTATTTTTTAATATTGAATGTTATTTATTTTATTCTGCTGTTATCAAGTTGTTCTTTTATGGTTTATTTCTATTCAGAATTTAATTCAACAAAGAAAACTTTCATACATTTTATATTCATTACATATGAAGTGAAATATAAAATTTTTTTTGCTTGTTTGAACTTTCATGATTATGGCTCATGAGAAATGCAATATCACAAATTACTAGAAATTCCATTTCAGTAAATTACTATTCAAACATGGGCGAGACTCCAGACTTGACAGCTGTCCAGGAGACGATCATGGACACCTTCAACGAGGAGGGTAGTCTGCAGAACGTCTCTGCTGAAAAAGCTGTCTGTTTTCATGGTGCTGAGTCGAAAAGGAATATGATGGAAAGTTTACTAGAAAGAAAAAGTGTGGCAGGAAATGGTGCACAAGCAAAAGAGAAAGACCACAGGCAGTGTTGGGAAGGTTACTTTTAAAACGTATTCCACTACAGATTACAGAATACATGCCCCAAAATGTAGTTTCTAATCTCTTCCGTTAAATGTACTCAATGTGATCTGAATACTTTGGATTACTTAATATATTGTAAAGTTTTTTTAAAACTACATGAATGCAGCAATCACATCCTGTAAATTCTTGCTTGTTTTTCTCTACCAATTGGATGTTTGTGACAAAGTGGATGAGCAGTTGTAATGCTCTCCACTTGTCCCAGATGTGTTGACCTTTTTTTTTTTGCACATCATGCACATTATTCTGTCTCTGTATTTCTTTGCTATGATTTGCTATTTTTCAAAGTAACATTGCTGCAATAACTATCCCGGGTTTGTTTGTGTAAGCATTCTGTTTCCGGCAAAACAAACATTCTGCAAATTAAGGCAAATACTCATTTACATGTTTCTTTATATTTGATTATGTTACAGATTAAATAATTTGTTCATACTTTGTTCTTTCTTTTCAGTCTTCATATAGGTCAGGTGTGAGGAAAGGCCCGCCTAGCATTTCCTCATTTTAAAGTGCAACCTGCTGATGTCACACTGATGTCACATCAGCAGGTTGAACCGAGAGGAGGGATTTCCTTAACCATAGAAATGCTCCCTTTTGTTTGTTTTATTCGTAAATAGAGCCGTTTAGTTGTGTAAATGCGCTAATCAGAAGTGAGAGGATATTTTTAGTCAACTATGTAGAGTTTTAGATCACTCGGCTCAAGTGAGTGGTACTGGCTGGGCTAATTGAAGGGAAACTGATGGCCCTATATATAGTGAGTCTCTGCCAGACTCAGATGAGAAAGGAGAGGTGAGCTGTGTTATCAAATCTATGTACTTTTGAGTTTTTTTATTTAAGTTACTTTGGCGGAAGTTTTGTTAAGTTTCACGTATAGAGTCCACTGTAAATAAATTGCTCACCTCTGGAATCCCAAAATGTCTGCTGAGTCTGCTTCCCTACCACCTTCTTGCCCAAATCTCTCTGAATGGACAATATATTTATTGTAGGGGAGCAAAGACTTATGTTAACATCAGATGTTAACAAAAGATAAGATGTTAGCTTGGTGGCGAGTAGCCTTCAGTAATAGTAATAAAGCACACAGCAATAGTACATCGAAGATACTGAAGTGACAGGTAGCTACCACAACAACTCATATTTTGCATTTTAAATGCGTAATGCCGGTAAATATATTCCATTACTCACCAGCACTGTCCACAGCCTTAAGAGAATTTGTTGATTCAAGAGCTTGGGAAGATTTCACAAGGGGTGGACTGGAGCTGATGTCAATGTATCGAGAGTCGTCTTCAAGAATGGGGCATTGCATTAATAGGTGTAATAGATGTTGCATTCCTAATATAAAGTCATTCCTGACCAAAGAGAATGTCAGAAGCAGCTTATCTAACATGTAAGCAAATGTGTAATTCATATAGATGTGTGTATGCCAGCATATTTTTCTGTTTCCTTTTTTTTCTGCCCCTCATTCTCACATAAATTATAGTTCACAGCATGCTAAGAGTATCCAATAAATATCAGGTGTTTAACATGTGTTCAAGTGTTTAACATCCGTGTTCAGCCCATCAGCATATGGGTGACTGGCAGTCAGATGTCTAGCAAAGTTTGTACATTATAAACAAAGTGAAAGTTTGAAGACACACAACAGCTTGGGCAATGTGGAAAAAATGCATGACATCTACAGTGTCTGGCTCCACTTTTTCCTCTGTAGTCATTTGATAAACAATACACGCTCTTGTTTAGTTGTGTGGGTGGCTGCCGTAGGGTGACTTGAGGTAGTTGTCTAGCAGTCCATCCCAGCCCCCTTTACCTTCTCATCCACTAATTGGGCAGTTTGCTGTCTGCAATGGACACGTTTTGGGCCAAAGAGAATATAGTTCCAAGTGAAGAAAATTTCACATACAATCCTATTTGGATGGTAGCTGGAAAACTGGAGGTAAGAGACAATAAGAGCGAAACAGCTAATTGCTTGAGTCTATTCAGTGTTTCCTTTCCTGCAGTGGTTACTTGTGTGAGTAGGTGCGGTACTCAGCAGGACAATTTCCAGACATCACTGCAACTCAAAGAGAGCTTCAAATAGCTTCCACTGTTGGAAACAATCTATCCAGCCAATGCTTTTTAGACTAAATCATTATCTCACAATGGCTTCTAAAGACACAGGTGTTCACAAAAAAAGCCTTTTTAAAGTCTTTTCAAACCAATTGCTACCGTCCAACGTGTAGGGTATTGGATTTGCCCATAAAGGCTCTTTTATAATTTCCTTTTCAATAGTACCTTAATGTCAAAAGTC